ATACTAATATGACTACAAAATGAAACAAGAATTTTGAACCTGGCTTTATCCAAAGTTCAGATTTCGATTCCTGAAATGTGTTTAAAATATGTGCATATTTAATGAGATAATGTATAATTTTCATATTTAAACATGCTATTTCAGAAAACTTGTAATATAAAAAACAATTGCCTTATTGTAAGTAATTAACTGGAGACATTTCTAGCTGTTAAAATAATTACCCTATTCACCTGGGGTGTCTCGCCTTAATGAGATACAATATCCAGTGGTGCACATGAAATGAGCTTACTTTAACAAGAAAATTGTGTTTATAGTTGTTTGATGTTGTCTCAAGTTGCACACTCCACTTTTATTGTGTTTGTCTGAGGAGGAATTACACACTTCATTATATGACCATATTTTGTGTTTGTGCCTTATTTTTCAATCTATTCCAAAAATGTCATCCACTTCAGAGATAAGAGAATTTATTTGACAGTTAAAGGTGGGGTAGGTAATTTTGGAGAAACCAGCTCGAGTGCGCTAGAATTTGAAAATACACAGCCGGAACAAATCTGCCACTTCCTTACAGAGCCCCTCCTCCAACACACACGAACGCGCACATGACCAATGAGGGCACGAGATAAGTTTGTGCACAGATGGAAGGCTGACAGGCAGGTAGGCCATCCAGTTATTTTAGCCGGGCCGGCTATAATGATTGGTCGTGCTTTTTACAGTACTACGGCTTCCACAGATGCATTTTTTTAATGGATTTTTTGTCAAAACACTTAAGATATTCATTACTATCGGGATGTTAAGAGCATTCCATGGAATATGACAAAAAGTGTATCTCGAGCCAGTTTCTCAAACTTACCTACCCCACCTTTAACAATCTGTAACCTCAAACTAATCTGTTCCATTTTTTAAATTATAAGATAAGAACATTATCAGCCATTTGTTCTTTGAAAACAGGATACGTTTTTTATTACCAATTCATCCACTTGTCTGACGGACATATCGGGGTCTTGATCAACGTACTGTGGATCCACGATGCAGACATGTGAGTCAGAGGAGTCATAGGAAATCATCACCCCAATCTGGACCCAGTCTGGCAACAACAGAATCAGAGAGCTCATTGTATGCCTCCTTCCCATGGAGGAAACAACTGTCACTAGTTATTCACTGTATTTTAACCTCATCTATCAACACAGGCCACAGGGCAATAACAAACGAGGGTAGGATGACTAACAATGGCAAAGAAAGCAGATTCACATCTGCAGCGTTTCCTATACCTGAACTTTAGTGGAAGAATAAAAGACAGCACTGTGATGAGGTGATGACACAGTTCATACTGGGATTAAAAGCACCCTCTGTGACCCTGAACAGGACAAGCAGGTATAAACAATAGATGGATGGGAACTACATTTTAACATTTAAAGTGGATTCTTTTAAAACTGGAAAAAACATGCAAATGCTGTTGCCACTACCCTAAAAAACATGCCATTTCACACAATGGCATTCCATTATTCAAGACAGCTATTGATGTTATTGTGAGGTCAGGTGGTCATTATCACTGACCTCTAAATAGAAGGTACAAGCAAACTGGTTTTCATCCATAAGGCTTTATCTTATTTGTCTAAGATTTTTAACATTCTTAATTGACTTCATGGCTACCATGACATAGCATCCGTTAGCTTACCATAACAACATTAAACATGCAAAGACTCCACTAAATTTGTATTTGTGTTCTTGTGTCTATATTGGATACATTGATTGTTATTCATTTTCAAAGTCAACACTTTGTTTCACCAATGCTTGAGGCCGATCCGACTCTGGCATAGTTGTGAGCTTTATGGTAAACAATAATGTTAAAAATTGAAGGAGCAGAAAGGAGTGCCTTTCACTGCACCGTGAATGCGACAAATAAAATAGATTGATTATGTTAAGCTGTTTTTGTTGTGCAGTTATCAGTAACAAATTATGTATCATCACCAGATATTTTCTGACTGTAAGCAGTTGCTAGGAGCACTCAATGTTGCACTTATCAGATTTGGTCAAATGACTATGTGTCATATAAAAAGATTTGCATGAATTTACATGTTGGCAAACTGAAAGATGAATTATCACCCAACTCTGCAAACATCCTCACTCTTCAGAGATTTAGCATATTTAAGCGACTTGTTACGGGTGTTCCTCGCAACTTAACAGTTTTGATTCAGTCTCACTCCTCTGCTTCCTGCTTTGGTGAGAACATTCTGATAAACACACATCAGCATAACCTGCCCAGCACCAAAATGCAAACCAACCTTAGAGTATGTGCTGAATGTAAATAAGCACGTGCACCATATCAACTTTATGTGAGGATAATTATGTCAGTGTTATGTTTCCAGCTTGTTCTGTTGCCCAATCATAGTATATCTAAGATTCTATTATATTGTGTGATTGCTTTAATCAGTGTGTGTGTGTGTGTGTGTGTGTGTGTGTGTGTGTGTGTGTGTGTGTGTGTGTGTGTGTGTGTGTGTGTGTGTGTGTGTGTGTGGTGTGTGTGTGTGTGTGTGTGTGTGTGTGGTGTGTGTGTGTGTGTGTGTGTGTGTGTGTGTGTGTGTGTGTGTGTGTGTGTGTGTGTGTGTGTGTGTGTGTGTGTGTGAGACCGACCGACCGACCGACTGTCCTTGCCTTTATCTTGTATGTAAAGTGTTACCGGGTCTCTTTGTCTTCTTACAATGCAAAATCAACACAACACTATTTTGCTTGTGTCAGAGAAGGAGGTCTGATTTTTTCCCTCACATTTCCAATGTCAATAAACAGTCAATAAGTCAGCAGATATTTTCCTTTAGTCACTGAAGGTAACATGAGCTGTCATACTGAGCTTTCTTTTCATCCAGCCACAAAATGTGTCACCGCAGAGAAAAAAATCAGCTCTGAGCCTGCGGTGTAAGTCTGCCCTGACAGGACTGCTGAGATAGCTCTGCGTCCACGGCAACGCTCAGAGAACTGCCTGCCTCGCCGTCCACACGGCAACAAAGCTCACACAGCAGGCCTCGACCAATCAGGACGCTTCAAAGGTGACAGGCCCGGGCCAGGTCTTCCTTTGCTCTCTGTCGCTATGGCTGCTGTGGGTTTTTGTTTTCCTGAGAGAAAAACCTGGAGATGGAGGGAGAGAAGAGTGACAGAGAGATGGAGAGGGAAAACATTTCTCATTCAAAGATATCCAGTTAAGCTCGCACAGGATAGATAAACACAAATATATGAACTGTTAAATCCCTTAAAGCAGATTGTCAAAGTTACATTTGAGGATGGCACCTGGATAAATAGTGTGATTTTATGTGGGTGACACATTTGTTATGAGTTTGCACTTTTCTTTTTTTTTCAGTTTGCATAATTATGCATATTATGTTTGTGTATTTGCATGTACCTGTCTCTCTGCATTTGTCTAGACATTATAACCACAAGTAGATGTGGGGTATGATAATCATAATAACTGTCATGTTAGTCTTGTTTTTCCTGCATACACATACAGTACAAGAGGCTGCAAACGGTCCAGTCTAGACTTTATGTGTTTAGCGTTTGCAATGCAGTTAGCTAAGACTACATTAAGAGTTTGCAAAATCAAACAAGTATGAGCTACTATTTTGTCTTTTTTGGGGAAATATGCTAATGCACCAGTTAAATACTGCATCTATGTGTCATTCAAGTTCAAATAGTGCGGCGCTGGTGCACTTACATAATGAATTTCAGCAAGAAGCTCTGAAGTAGAACTTGGACCAGAGCCTAACCATGACTGAATCTCAATAATGCTTACACAGTAAAAGAGGGCAGTAGATGTCTTCAATGCAGAGGTTATTGTGTGTTTGTGGTGTTTATATAAAGGAACACAGACCAGCCAATGTATTGCATACACTTTGCCTGGTCTCTGTTTTGATTTGAGACAACCCAAGTAGTTTGCCTCGATGTGCAGAGGTAGATAAGATCTCAGAGTAATGAAATGTCTTTGAAAAGAGACAGCCAGTCACAATGGATTTGTTGTGTATGTATCCTGAAGTGACCTCTAGTTTGAGTGTGTATGTATTATTGCTGGAGCCGGTTGGAGTCCATCTGTGTGCTTGGATTTGGTTGCTTCGATCCATGCCAAGAACAATACTCCTTCCTCCTGTGGCCTGGCTATACTGCTGGCATCGCTTCACGACTTCCCTTTCACATAGAGTCTTGGAACCGTACCATGACCAATTAAGAGTGGCTGTCTAAAAAATATGAAGCCACTTCAGGGTGATGACCTTTGGTTCTGTTAATTAAACTTTTCTTGCTTTATTTGGTTCAAACAAAGTATCCCTGAAGAGAACTGGTGTTGAAGGAGCCATCTTGATAGTTAAAACTGGAAAACTGAAGTTTACAAAAATGACTAAAATGTTCACATTATTCCTGCCAAAACTGACTTGTTGACTCATCTTGAGATTGAGTGCGAATACCCAACATAACAGAAAGTGAGAAAATACATTTTCCCGCCACAAAATATGATGAAGTTTGTAAAGACTGACAGCCGGGACTGTAAAGCTGAAATCAGACGAGTGCAAGCATCAAAGGTGGCAAAGACATTTAGTAAAACTGGATGTCTAAATGACTATTCGCTAAAAACGTCTTTAAAAGGCAACACTTATAGTTTAGTAGTGGTGATGTAGCAGCAGAACACACTGCATTTTATCTTGCACATTTATAGACTGTCCACCATTTTTCACCACTTACTTTAACTGTATCGGCAAAGAACGGAATAAAGCACATCATCTTGTTTACCATAGTTGATCATGAAGGCCTGTAATAAGGTATCTCTAGTTCCTCAATAGCACATGCCACTGCTGAGATGTAATCAATTCACAAATTGTGGTGGACCACATGCAGCTAACTCAGTTTGACTTCTCTCGTTAACAGACGTGGTGTAAAAACCATGTAAACATCTTTATAGAAGTTGGAATTTTTGTTATTGCTGCATGGCACACATTCAAACAATTAAAGTTATTGTAATTCCCTCGAAGCACAGGCAGACACAAGTGGCTTTCTCATTACGGGTTTATTCCTCCGAATCCACCGTGAAAACTACACAAACAAACAGTATAAATGACAAACATAGTTTCGTGTTAGACACACAATAACATGCACAGCATGTGAGATAACTAGCAAGGTAATAAACATAAAAGTGATACAAGCACAACAACATACCTCGTTGGGCTGCATGCTCTGTAAACAGAGGGAAGTATTCTTCAGTTCTCTTCACAACTTGTATGTATAAGAATACAACACTAACGGAGCTGTAAGTATCCGTGCATCTTACTCTGAGGGTGCTTCTCATGTTCTCGCTCTCTAACTCACGCGAGAACAGCATAACGAGACGTGAGCTTGGACTTCAAAATAAAAGACGAAATATTGCACGCATGAAACATTACAACAATAATAATTAGTACACTTAGAAAATACACATTACAGTTAAATTATGAACATGTAAAGGCTGCACTTACACTCCCACCAAATCACACATTACTCGTGAGATTTCACGCAAAAGATTGTTTGTACAAAGTAGTCCTTTGAAATAGACATTACCTGTAGATAACAACTTAACATGGAATCTCAGGCAACACATTAAACACCTTATTCTGCCTCAAACAGAGTAACAACCTTGTGTACAGGTCTTTCAAGGAACACAGTCCTAATTGTGGGTTTCCCCTTTTTGTCTAATGTGGTTTGGCTAACCAGTAATTTAAGTTTTCTGACCCTACTATCTGACCCTGGAAAGACTTCTTTAGTCTTCTTTCAAGACAATTTAGGCGGTGTACTGCGCACGTCTTGTTGTCAGGTAACTTTGGTCTTTCGCCTTTGAATGGTTGTACATTCATTGGTTCTTTGTTTCACACCTTGGTGTTCTTTGGCATGTCGTTTCAGTCTTGCAACTGCTCTTGACCAATCAGAGCATTTCTGTAAGTGATCCAATAATGACCTGTCTTCCTTGCGAAGTTCAGGATCATCCTCATTGATTTCTCCCACCTTGCATTCTCTTACAGGTAGGTCCTTTTGCCAAAGAAACTTTGGTACTGTGAACCAGTTTGAAGTCTTCAGTCGCTCTGCAGTTAAACCTCGAGAGGCATGCTCTGCTGGATTGTCTTTAACTTTGGTTCGGCTCACATAGTGTACTTCAGTTTTGAGACTGAGAGAAGGTTCTACACCTGGTGTCACTTGTGTTACTACTATGCGATGGCTAACGCCAATGGCGTCTCCATAATCTAGACAGGGATTCATGTTTCCAACAATACTCCATCCAAGGTCTGTACGTTGTGCGTAAGGTTGATTTTCTTTGCCAGACACAACTTCTCTTGGAAGTAAAGCTTGTGAGCAGTTGTACCCTATGAGCAGACCCACTTCACAGTCTTGCAGAGGTGCAATCTCTCCTTGGAGGTGCTCTAGATGAGACCAAGCTTTTGCAGTTTCATCTGTTGGTATGTGAGTTCTGTTGGCTGGAATGAAGTCACGTGTATAGACTGGTGGTAAGGGAATCTTTTTACCGGAGTAAAAGCCTCTGACTTGTAAGTTGTTCACTCTTTGAGCGCTTACAACTGTGGTTCTTGAGGTCATAGTAGATAGCTTGAGCTTGACTTGTTGTTTACTTGCTTCCAAAGCCTCAGCTACTTCACTTAGCACAAATGTTGTGTCACTTTGAGAATCCAACAGAGCATATACAAGGATTTCTTCTGCTGGTTGACATGTGGATAAAAGCCAGACTGGAATTATAGCAGCTGTTTGTGTATTACCTTCACCAAGTATTACTCTGTTGGAAATAGCTGCTGTGGTTCTTTCTTCTTGTTGTGTTGGTTGAAGTCTTTCTTTGTATCTTTCTCGATTTGTACGCTCTTCATGCAGACAGGTAGGATGTTGCTTCTTGCATACTTCACATACACTCCTACTGTGGCAGCTCCTTGACTGATGGCCAGTCTCGAGACATCCAAAGCATAGCTTCTGAGCTTGAATGTACTTGATTCTGTCTGGGACAGCTTGCTCCATGAACTTCCTGCAATTGTGCAAGGAATGCCAATTCTTCTTACAGAGAATACATGTTAAGACGGTGTTTTCGTCTGAACTTGTGGTCAGTGTCTTTGCTGCAAAGCTTTGTTGTCTTTGAGATTTGGTGTTTTCAGCTTCACCTTGCTTCAGTGATTGCAATGATGTGACAGGGTTACAGGCAATCTTTGCTTCTCTTGTCAAAAACTTTACAAATTGGCTGAAGGAGGGAAATTGTTTACTGTCTTCTTGGACTTCAGTAACCTTCCGATTCCAGCTTGCAGTTAGCCAATCTGGTAATTTTGAAAGTATTTGCCTGTTTTCATTACAGTCATTCAAGATTTCTAATGCCTTGATATGGACCATGGCAGCCTCGCAACTATGGAGAAAGTCTGCAAAATCTCTGAGCTCAAAGCTGTCCTTAGATCCTATCTTGGGCCACGATTGAAGCTTGTCTCTATAGGCTTTTGCAATTGTAAATGGATTCCCATATCTCTCCTCCAAAATCTCCCATGCTGCAACATAGGCAGATTTGGTTCCGAGCAGGAAATAACCATCAAGTGCTTTCTTAGCTTGTCCACCAACATATCTCCTTAAGTAGTATATATTTTCTTTGTCTTGGATGTTCTTCTGGTCAATCAGTATTTCAAATGAAAGTTTCCAGTCATTGTATTTCAATGCATCCCCACTGAATACTGAAGGTTCAGGAACTGGAATTCTGTTGGCAGTTAAGGCACCAGCTAGCACCTTAACAAGCTCTACTGTACTTTCACTTGAGGAAGTAGTGACAACCTGTCGTTGAGGACTTGTGGGAGCAGGCACTGGGTTACTTACCAGATCCCTCTCTAGCACGTCTTTCCATTCTTCTTTAATGGACTCTTCTTGGTCATACACTTGCATTCTTGCTCGTGCTGCATTTAAATCTTTTACTGCTTCCAAATGCTGTATTTTTCTCCGTTTGTCATCTAGAGTCTGTTGTAGAGCTACATGCTCTTCTTCTAGACAAGCTTTAATTTTAGCTTCTTCTTCCTTGCTTTCTGAACGATGTCTTAACTCTTCTGATTATCTTTCTGAACGATGTCTTAACTCTTCTGCTTCTCTTTCTAAACAACGCCTCATGGCTGCAGTCTCTTGATCAGCTATCTTTCTTTTAGCTTCTGCTTCCAGGCGCTGAATCTCCAAATGTTCTCTTTCTTGTTCTTGTAACACTTTCAGAACAGCTTGGCTTGCAGCAGCCTCAGCAGCAGCTTCTTGTCGTTTCACAGAAGACTGGTTCGATTGCTTGGAGTTGATTTTCGAAGAAAAAGTGTAGGTGCTTGAGTTAAAGAGAGAACCTGCTTCAGGCCAATCTTTCTTTTCTCCTTCTGGAACCTTTCCATCCAGGAGACTTGAGGCTCTGATCATGACAAACTTAGAAATCTCTGCACACAGATCCACTCTTCGACGCGTGTCCTGGTCTGGAGTTGAGATTGTACGCAGATCCTCATAAACATGTTGGACATCTTCTGACAAACTTGTGACATCATGAATTATGTTATTAAGCAAATCTTCAGACAAAGACTCTGTTGTTTGAGATAATGGCCGCTTGGCTGTTTTCACTTGTGTTCTCCATTTCTCATAATTGTAGTTGAACTTTTGTAGGAGCATTTTCATTTGTTCTTCTTGCATTTCTCTACCCTTTTCTGTAGGAGTTTTAGTTCTTTGACCTCTTCTTAGCTGCTGTGCTTCAGTGTTATCCACAGCTTTGTATTGGGGCTCTGCACTTTCCCTAACCTGAATTGTAGGCTCACTAGACTTAGACATTAGTAATCACTACTTTAAAGTGACTCACTTTTATAAACAGCAAAATGCAGTTAAACCTTTTAATGAACTTTCAACACTTACTCAAATGTAAGTGTGACTTAAATGTACCCTATAAGACTTCAATAGAGGTAGAAATGCACTTAAAATAGAAAATGTGCAAAAAACAGCTTAATTGAACTTTACACCTTTCAAAAATATACTCAAAAATAAGACTTCAGAACTTCAATGAAATAACTTTCACTTATTATTCCCAAAAACACACTTTGAATTAGAAATTGGAAATAAAAACACTTGCGTTCCCTTTAACTTTACGCCTTAATTAACAAGCCTTAATAAAATGACATGAGCAAATAAGTCAAAACGCTAACCACACACGCTACTATAGTTGGCACTCACGGTAATAATGGTTTAGCAAACCTTTACAGAAGCCCTTTACTCAGATAACTATTGATTTCTTAGTGTCCAAGTTCTTTATGGCTCTGTCTTGAAGCGTTGCTCTTTTAAGAACTGCGCGCGTCGTCCACTTCTGTGTGTGCATGCGTAGTTTCTCCTCCTCCGGCGGCCATTTGAAGACAGCCTCGTGCTCAGTCCGTGATCCTCTGAAGTTGCCGCTTCGTCAATTAAGACGCACTCGCGTCGATGGACAGTCGAGTTTTCACTGTAATTCCCTCGAAGCACAGGCAGACACAAGTGGCTTTCTCATAACGGGTTTATTCCTCCGAATCCACCGTGAAAACTACACAAACAAACAGTATAAATGACAAACATAGTTTCGTGTTAGACACACAATAACATGCACAGCATGTGAGATAACTAGCAAGGTAATAAACATAAAAGTGATACAAGCACAACAACATACCTCGTTGGGCTGCATGCTCTGTAAACAGAGGGAAGTATTCTTCAGTTCTCTTCACAACTTGTATGTATAAGAATACAACACTAACGGAGCTGTAAGTATCCGTGCATCTTACTCTGAGGGTGCTTCTCATGTTCTCGCTCTCTAACTCACGCGAGAACAGCATAACGAGACGTGAGCTTGGACTTCAAAATAAAAGACGAAATATTGCACGCATGAAACATTACAACAATAATAATTAGTACACTTAGAAAATACACATTACAGTTAAATTATGAACATGTAAAGGCTGCACTTACAGTTATATGTTCATGTATTATAGATATTATAAAGTGGAACAATGTCTAAATTAACATAGTTGTTCATTGACATAAAAAAAAAATGCAGTATGATTCAACAGGCTAATTGAAAACTGATTCAGATGTTTCGGGAATGCCAGCCACGTAATCTTATGTTGTTTTTGGCCTTTGCTATTAATTCTGTCAATAACTAACATATCCCTATAAACATTATCAGAAAGCTTCTGTGGGCAAAATCACTGTGTAAATATACGTGCCTATTAGTAAATCTTCATTGATTGAATTAGTTCTTCTAAAAATACTCCTCGTAGATTAGAATGTAATTCTTGCTGATCTTTGACACGTTAAGCTATGGCACATTTTGCAAGTCAAGAGCTCTGCTGGACTTTAAATTTAGCTCCATGTCCCTCAGCTGGCAAACATCTCTTCACTCAGCTGAGAAGGACTAACAAAACATAACAGCGCTCTCTGAGTTTTCCCACGACCGCCTATCCTCGACAGTTGGCCCTGACAGTTAACAAGACAGGTGCACGTCTTTCACTAAGGCGGGCATTTGGTGTCAGCGCTGCTCCTCCAAAACGACCTTGACTCCCAAGTGAGCAGAAAGGCCTTCTCTGTTTGCATTTACAGGCGTTGGTATTAAATTGACTTACTGAGTGTTTGTATAATTAAAGGATCAACGTAAGCCAATAGTTAAAGCAGTCTATTTGGACAGAGTGTACATGTGGAGGCGTCTCTCCTGTCATTGTGTGTTTTGTCTGGATCTTCAGTTTTGCTCTGAGGGATGAATATATTAAGAATTATGAGATCTGTGTGTATGTACAATGACACTGTAAATAAATACGTTAAAGAGTCACTTTATGTTCAGAGATTTACTGTTGATAAACATCAAAAGACCCGGAAAAGGATCAACCGGCTAGAGCCGTGTTTACATTCACATTTATTTATAGACATTTTGAAATAGCACTAGAAAAGCTGTACATAAAGTTTGATTAAACTTAATCAATGGTGCAGAAAAGTTTGCAAAAAGCTCTTTGTCCAAAAAAGAGTTGATTCACAAAATAGATACATGGAAACAGCTTTGCTGGACCTTTAACTCACGAGTTAATATTGTCTTCATGTCTGAAAACATGAAACATGGCCAATACTAGCTGACTACAAACACATTTTTGAAGTCACCTCTCCATGTTTTCTCCTATAGATTGGCTGGATGGCCAATGTGATTTGATCTGTTTTCTGATTTGCAACCATTACTTCTTCTATTCTGTTTACTGTTGAAAACTAATTCAAATGGTAGTTGGACACAAATGTCTGCATTGTGTACTCTTACACACAAATTGGAAATAATCCAATTTGGCATCAGCAGGTCTATTAGACCAGAGGGCACTTATTGTAACATCACAAATAGAAGAGTTGCCATGAGCCAAATAGAGCAAACACCAGAGTCACGATCGTATTACTGTACCAAAACAAACTTTACGACAAACCCTCAAACACTACTCCACCTTGGCATGGCACACACTGCTGAGCAGAGTGAGGCTCCTCCTCAGGGAAGAATGAAGCTGCAGGACCATCCCATCCCAAACACTCTGCCCAACCTGTGACCCAACTGAAAGTTTTCACCTCGCTGTTCAAATAGTTGACTTTTTGACCTCTGCAGAAGTTTGCCTTGACCCCTGCACAAGTGCATAGTGCCCCTGTCCTGGCGCAGATCGCATGCCGTGAATAACTGGAGCGTGGGTTTACTTATGGAGTAAGGCGTGCCAGCAGCAAGCGCACATGAGCAGAGCAGCAGCTGCTGTGTAAAGCTGCCTGTTATGAGCCTGTGATACTCTCACATACATACACACATAGTGTGGTTATGAGAAGTGGCACGCTCAGGGGAGTGACAAAGATATGGGTGCAACTGATGTGTGAATGTGTGTCGTGTGTGTGCAAGTTTGTGTGTTTATGATACAAAAACCATAGCAATGTGCCATTCATATAGATGCATGGGATTCTTAGGGTAAGATATGCACTGCGTGTGCACCAGGAGTGTATGAGTTCTTATATGCCCTTCACTTATAGCTTCTGAAACACTGCTGACACAACTCACTGCTTGTGAACTATTTACAGGCTGAGTAACCAAAGCAGATATTATCGTACACATGCCACTGTATCAGTAAAAGTGGGATTGGGTTTTAGGTGCGTGTCTGTACATGTTTGTACAACACACCCTCCTCCATAAGCTCCGGCAATTTAAGATAAGGTTGGGGGGTGGGGTCTGTGTAGCATCAGTGGAAAACCCTGAAGGAGATACGCTGTCCTAGCGAGAAGGGCATGAAGAGAGCGACAGTGAGTGACAGCAGCAGTACGTGGCTCTTTGGACCACTTCGACCCCTAGTCTGAAAGGAAGCCTGTGAGAAAACAATAAGGGATGCTTCCTTGCCACACAGCTAATATAATGTGGGCTGTGATAAGAGCGATAAGAACCTCCCTGCCATGCTGCGCTATTCTGGGAGGAGTGGGCTCAGAAAAACAGGATATCCCCCTTTGTTTTGTTTTGGTTGGTGTTAGTTGTTGTGTGTGCATGCAAGATTTTATAGTGATAGTGATGGGCTGTGGCACACAGTCACATTTCTTTGACCCCGTCTTGTCTGCAGATGGGAAAGGGGGTCAGGAGGTTATAGGGGTCAAGCAAAGGGTTACAGCTGGTGCTCTCAATGTCTACACAGTAAGACAGAGAAAGCTCTACCCTGACAACCGCATAGCAATTATGGAACCTCAGTGTTATAGGTTAATTAGTACATCTTGATCTGGTTACACTTTCTGTGATGTCCATGTCTAATATTCATTATAAACAAACTTATAATGCATTAAGGTCAGCATAGCTACAGTTTTAAGTACTTTTAAATAATCCAAATGTTTTATAACAATAACAAAATATAAAGCAATTTATAATGACTCAGAAGGTCAAGTGTCACGACCTTTGCTGGGTCACTACATTTGTTTTTTGCCAGGATTATGTATTATAATTGCTGTTTGTATCGTCATAGGGTCGTTTTTTGAATTGTTAGCTAGTTGTTTGACGTAGAGGTGCTGATGAGGCCATATTACCTCTATCCAAACATCTGTGTTTCCCCAAAATGTAAACGGTGTTAGGTTAAACAGACAAATTAGTTGGTTCAATAGCACAACAATGATCCATGACATTATCAAAAATCACAACAGCTATTTGTTTTCAGGCCACTTTTTAGGTTTCTCTAATGTGTTATCATGAGTTTGTAATCATCATGGCATATTTATTCTTGGCACCTCCTTCTTTTCCTTGTCTCCCTCTATGCTAGAGTTATCAGTCAAGGAGGGGGAGGGATGCTTCACCATGCCCGCCCCACACTAATCCATCCCTCTCCCTTCAACACACACAGTCAGCATTGAAAGGATTTGTTTTTCTACGTTCCCTCCATCTCAGGTTACAGCAACTCAATGTTTTCCTGTCAGTTTTGTTAAAAAAGCAAATTCCCAGCTGAGTCTCTGGCCTGGACAGGGAGACACAGCTGGTGCCTCAAAACCCCAAAGAGTTCCCCCTGCTCTCCTCAGCTGACACTGAAATTATAACCTGCCATAGACTTTATATTTGAGATTCATAATCAAAGTGCTTTTTAAATGTGAATCATGAACACAGTTTGGTGACAGTCTTATTAAGATAGCTGTTTAAACATTTAGCACTATAGCTTTACAGAATTGGACAGCTGCTCCCACCTGATCACCATATTGTATCCCTAAGGGGATCATATTTTCTAAACAAAACACAGCCATACACATTTAATGTCTGTGTGGTTGTATATGCTTACGGTGCAAATACTTCAACAGAGCAGAGCATAAGGACCATAAAGTAATAAAACTTGACGGCTCAGTCTGGTTGCTGGCACTTAAAGCTGATATACAACCAAGAAGATGCTCGGGTGATGAACTGTTAGCGTCTCTGCCTGCAACCCGTAGAGCAATTTTAGGGTACATCTTCTTTGTGAATACTAAAACATGTTGGTTGTTTGCCAGAAGCTTTTATAAATTGACATTATCAGGTTTAAGAGACATTTTTACGATAGACATTCTTTTTTTTTTACCATTTACCAGTTTTTATCCCCGTCTATTTGTTTTGGAAAGAAGGAGGCATCCGAGTGCAATTCGGCCCTTGGTAAAGTCTCCTGAAAAATGAACAATAAAGGAATTGTAATTAGTAAAATCTGTCTCTAAAGATGGTAAGGGTAGTGCAATCAACTCCCATGACCCTACGCTACTTCAACACACCACCTCTCTTTTATTATTGCTTTTATGGAGAGACCCCTCGTAGCAAAACATCACACTGAATGCTTAAACAAAAGCTGAAACGGTATTTTATTTAAGCTAAATCTATATAAAGAACTTGGTCAAGCTTTTTTGTTTAGGGACAATATAGCATTTGCATTTAAGTGTCATTTTGCTCCAATCAAAGTGCCTCTCAGATGGTAGAAAAGCATCTCCCGTCTGCATCAAACACCTTAAATCATTTCCTACTGTAAATCAAAACCATTAATCCCCAAGTTACTTAAAAATAATACGCAGGTTAACATATTAAGCTTTAATGCTTCAATCAGAACTGTGGCACGCTCATAACAAAGACCTCAGCTCGATGTCGTGCCATGTAGTGAGCGTCTCTGTGTTGTGATAGTCTCCATGGACAGTGATGTCACCTCTCCCAGTGTTAGATAAGAGCCTGGAAAGTCCCCAGTGCGTGACTGTCCAAGCTCATTTTAGAAGCTCTTATCAAGAAAAGTCCTAATGCTCTTGTGTATGGTCATCTATTTCATTGCAAACAAATGTATGCAGACACACACTCACACTGGTTGCTGTTTATTGGTAACATAAGTACTGAAGTTTGCTTATCTATATATTGTTAACGGCCCACCTCTTTCTAAACCATTATGTGTAAACAAAACTGAAACCTGAGTCACCCAACATGAATAATGTC